CGCAGCGCACCCGCGCCCAGCTGTGCCCGGTGCCCTCTGCCCCCCGCCCAGATGTGTCCCGTGCAGCTCTCCCCCCCACGCGCCCAGATGTGCCCCGCGCCGTGTGCAAACCCCTCTCCCCGCCCAGATGTGTCCTGTGCATCGCCCAGATGTGCCTTGCGCCCTGCGCAACCCCGTCTCCCCGCCCAGATGTGTCCCGTGCAGCGTACCCGCTGTGCCCTGCGCCCTCTGCAGCTCCCCCACCCAGATGTGCCCCCTGCAGCCCCCCAACGCCTAGATGTGTTCCGTGCACCACCCCCCGCGCCCAGATGTGCTCTGCGTCTTGCGCAGACCCCTCTCACTGCCCAGATGTGTCCTGTGGAGCCCCCCGATGTGCCCTGCGCTCTGTACAGGCCCTTCTCCCCGCCCAGATGTGTCCCGTGCAGCACCCCCGCGTCCAGCTGTGCCCTGCGCAGGCCCCCCGCCCCTTCCAAATGTGCCCCACCCTGCGCCTAGATGTGTCCCGTGCAACGCTCCGGCCGACCTCGCCCAGATGTGTCTCGTGCATCCCCCTCGCGCCCAGATGTGCCCTGAGCCCTATGCAGCCCCTCCCTGCCCAGATGTGCCTCCTGCAGCCCTCCATGCCCATCTCGTGTACCCCCCAGATGGGCCCTGCGCACGCCCCGCTCCGCCCAGATGTGTCCCGTGCAGCACCCCCCCACGCCCAGATGTGTCCTGCGCCCTGTGCAGCCGCCTCCCCTCCCAGATGTATTCCCTACAGCCCCCAGATGTGCCCTGCACTCGGTGTCGCCCATGTGCCCCTCGCAGCCTCCCCAGCACCCCGATGTGCCCTGCGCAGCCCCCTCCCTGCCCAGATACGGCCCCTGCAGGCTCCCACGCCCAGATGTGTTCCGCGCAGCGCCCTCGAGCCCTATGCAGACACCCCCCCCACTCCGTGCCCAGATGTGCCCCGTACAACGCCCCGTCGCCCAGATGCGCGCGGCGCGCTATGCAGAGACCCCCCAGCCACCGCTCCCAGCTCTGCCA